CCAATCAAAATGAAACTGACATTTCTTGAATCAAAATATTTTGTTGTGGATTGTTACACCAATCTGAAAAGCTTCACTGAAGTCTGTTGAACGTTAAACTTCATTTCCTTGTGGGGGCACATTGCCTCATGGGAGTTGTAGTTCAAAAGCCACATGACCCTGTTCTGCCTTGTGGTTAGTCTCTAAGGTGCCACAAGTACTCCTTTTCTTTTTGCGAATACAGACTAACACGGCTGTTACTCTGAAACTTGTGGGCCAGGCTCCCTTGGTAGATTACATCTCCCAGCCTGTGTCTGCAGCTGCATGACTTGTGGTGGACCATACGGCTGAGTTGGAGGGAAAACTGCATTGCATCATGGAATATGTAGTTGGACCAGGGAGTCCAGCCCATAGCAAACAATGGGACCCAAATTACAACTCCCATATGACAAACTGCACAATAGGGAAATACAGTTTAATGTTGAACTAATGAAAAACTAAACGTTTTGGGTCAGTTCAACAATCCAAAAATATTTCAGTTTGGGTCCATCCAATCCAAACCAAAACTTAATTTGACTTTCCCAGCAGAAAATTGAACCACTTCTGCAAAACTAAAATTGTCCTGTTGAAAAGTCTGATTTTGTGGAAACCACATTTTCCATTGGAAAAAACATTGATGGCAAAATTCCTGACCATCTGTAAATTTGACCCAGCACCTAATACTGAGTTCAGTTCTTAAAAGTTTTATTTATTTTCAAAGCTCTGCAATTCACCTGTGAAATCCCCCATTAAAACTGAAACAGGTCAATCAGCTAATTAGATAGCTAAATGCAAGGTCATACATCTAGGTGTGAAGAATGCAAGTCACACTTCCAGGATTGGGGGCTGTATTTTGAAAAGCAATGATTCATTAAGGGATTTAGGGGTCATTGCAAGCTCATGTTCAGTTGGTTATTTGCCATATGGTGGCTAGGAGAGCAAGTACAATCCTAGAACGTCTACGCATGAAAACACTGAGTGGATGTAGGCAGATGTTCTTACCCTTGGGTATGGCATTGACGAGAGTGGTTCTGGTGTCCAGTCTTTAGGGAGAAAGATGGTAAGTTGGAAAGGTTCAGAAAAGAGCTACAAGAACAATACAAGGTCTGGAAAACCTGCCTCACAGAGAGAGACCAAAGACGTCCAGTTTACTTAGTTTAACGAAGAGGCGGTTGAGGTGACTTGATCAGAATCTATAATCGGAAGATTTCTGATAGCAGAAGGGACTTGACTTTAGCAAAGGCAGAACAAGATCCAATGGCTAGATGCTGAAGCTAGATAACTTCAGACTAGGAATAAGGTGCCCAATTTGTACAGTGCGGGTAATCTTAGAAACATAAATGTTGGGCTGGACGGGGCCTCGAGAGATCAACACGTCCAGCCCCCTGCACTGAGGCAGGACCAAGGAACCCTAGGCCATCCCTGAAAAGTGTCTGTCCAACCTGTTCTAAAAAGATCTCAGATTACAGGGATTCCACAATCTCCCTTGGAAGCCTGTTTCAGAGCTTAACTACCCTCATAGCTAGAAAGTTTGTCCTAATATCTAACCTAAATCTCCCTTGCGGCAAAGTAAGCCCATTATTTCTTATCCTACCTTCACTAAACTATTGAAACAGCTTCCCTACACCTCCAGGGACCGGGGAGTCTCCATGACTTGGGGACTGGCTGTCTTTATAAAAGAGATCCTCCAGCTCAACCAGAAGTTATGGGCCTGATGCAAAAAAGAGAGCGATGAGTGAAATTCTCTGGCCTGTGCTGTCAGAAGGCCAGACTCGATGATCCCAGCAGTCCCTTCTGGCTTTAAAAATCTATTAATCACACCAGAATGATCCTGAAGTAATTCGATCCTTGCTTACAGGGATGGAATGTCACTAATGGATAGAGGAGATGGAGACTCAGGACTCCTGGGTTCTACTCTCAGCTCTGCCACTCTCTGGCTGTGTGACCCTGGGCAAGTCACGTCCCCTTTCTAGGCCTCATCTCGGAGAGCTAAAGCAGTGGTCTCCAAACTTTTTGGCTCGTGCACCCCCAGGGTGAAGACCAGTAGACCTACCGCAGATGCGCCGCCGACGGAAGACTGGAAGACTTGCCGCAGATGCGCCGCCGGAGGGGAACACCAGCCATGGATGTGCAGAGCTGCCGCCGAACTGAAAAAATGGCGGAGTGCTGTCCGGCAGCATTCCTGCTGCCACGCACCCCCTGGGGTGCGCGCAGCCCAGTTTGGAGACCACTGAGCTAAAGACCCCTGTCACCTTCCTCCCACACACGTGGCAAGGTTCAGTTAATCCATGTTTGTGAAGACCCTTGGATGCTCCAGAAGAAGCACGTCTTTATTGTAGGGCTTCTAGTCAAGCTTACAGCCTAGTGCAAACTGCTCCCATTAAAACCAAAGTGAGAGACAGATGGTTGTAGAAGAGGGGCTGGCTGGGTAATGGGAACCCAGCACTGGCTGACAGGACGAGTTTGTATCTAGTGTGCTGGTGGGAGAAGGAAGCAGGGCTAAACATGGCTGCTCATGTCCTGGGCACAGTACTCAAGAGCCTTCGGGTCTCAGCAGAGCAGGTGCCTCGCCACCATTTGGCTGGTTTGCTGCAGTCACAGGCCATTCTGTGACACAGGCTGCCTGTTGCCCCACTCTGCCCGCAGGTGTTGCCGTTTGAACCCTGCTGGGGTGACGGGGGTTCTCCTATCCCTCACCAGCTCCAGTCCCAATTGCTCCTGTTTCTGTTCCTTGTTAAGCTCTGAGCTTGCCAGCCATAGCTCTCTGCCATGTTTCTGCGTAGGGGAGACCGAGTGCAACCGCTTGGGAAGGGCTGGGAGGAGAGCCCTAGCTAACTGCAGGTGCATCTTGCACAGGGTTAAGCATCTAAAGGCAAGGCCTCAGACAATGGAAACAGGGCACTCACCTGATCCCACATCCCCAAGGGGCAGAATAATCCTCTTCGGCTGCAGACAGTGGTCTCGCTGTGAGGGGAAATGAAACAGACCCAAGCTGCAGCGGCCCATCTGAGCTCAGCAAACTGGGATACAGGACTCCTGGGTTCTATTTTCAGCCCTGCCACTGAATCACCTTGTGACCCTGAAGCAAGCTACTTCTCCTCTTTGTGCCTCAGTTTCCCCCATTTGTAGAACAGGGACAGTAACTATCTGTCTCAGTGGGATGAGAGACTTAATTAACTGATGTGATTAAGGAGCTCGAAATTAAAAGAGCTAAGGAAATTCAGAGGCTGTTTCTGTGACCCGTCTAGCTGGACTCAGCCTGCTTCTAACACCAGAATACAGAAAGGTTCTGGATTTCCCTGTATAAAAGTTGAGAATGTCCCAGGTTCTTTTAATTGTCAGTAATTTATTCTGAGCCCATGAGGGCAAAAGAACAGCTTGGGGGGCAGCAGAGAGCGGCTCTGACGATGCCATTCAGCAAAGGGCTTCCCACCTAAGGGACAGCTGGAGCCAGTGCACCAGAGGTGGTGACCTGGGATTTAGATCCATCCTCCAACCCAATCCCAGTGCTTGGGCCATGCACCTTGCTGCCACTGGGCCAGGCTCCAGGAAAGCCCCCCATAACCAATTTGGCTTAAATAGTTTGTCCTAAATTAGCTTCGCGCCCCCCACCCCGCCACAGTTCTTAAGCAAGGTGAGAGGCTGTTATTTCTTCACCCTTCTGCTGCTGAGGGCATGGGCGTCTCGAGAGCTGAGTGGCCTGGAGGGCTGACAGAAGGCAGTGTGGTTAGAACAGAGGCCTTGGAATCAGGACTCCTGGGTCCTGTTCTCTCTGCCACTCTTGCTGGGCGATCCTGAGCAAGGCACATCACTTCTCTGTGCCTCAGTCTCCCCATCTGTAATGTGGGGGTTATACCCCTACTTGGGGAGGGGGGGGCGGTAGGGTTGTGACACTCAAATAATGTTTGTTTGCAAATTGCTTTGAGATCCTAGAATGGAAAATACTGTTAGTCTAAAAAATGCCAGCCTGTGAAGGGTTAATTCTCACAGCCCCTTCTCCCCCATTGATAAGCAATTAGCTATTGTCTCCCCATGTTGGAACTTGTGTTTTCATCCTGCCCATCTCCATCTCTGCGGGACAGCCCTGTCCCCCGAGGGGGGCAGGGAGCTGGGGCTCCGGTTTCATTAGGGGATCTGCTCACGTAGCAGGAGGCTTTCCCACGTTGGGCCTGTCACGCGGAATTACTGCTCCAGTTTCCAGCTCTGCGCTCAATGGGCCCAGCCTGCTCTAAACAAAGGCTGTTCCTCCCCCCTGCTAATCCCCCAAGTCATGTAATTAATAAAACAAAGTGGCTTCTCTTCCCCAACAATGAACGAGGCGCAGGAGCCCTTCTAAGTTCTATTAACAGCTCCTGACTGCAAACTCCCAGCACGAGGCAGACCCAGGCATCCCAGGAGTTCAGACACAACAGACCCTGTGGCCTCCGCCTCCTCCACCTTGTAACATCCCAGCCGGGGGAAGGGCCGTTCCCTATGGGGGCAGTTCTAGGGACAGCATTTGGAGGCTTTCCCCCATTGCCTTTTTCATGCCTGCAAACCCTAGGTAGCCAGATTCTGCAGAAAAGCATGGTGCAGTTTTGGTCACGCTGGCCAGAGCATCGTTGGTGTTGCCTATGAGGTGGCTGGTCCTCAAGTGGACTTATCACTGCTTTCATCAGCTGGTGGCTAGAGAACTGAGTTAAAGTCCCTTGTCTCTCACTCGTTCCTTATGCAGTTACTCCAGAGGCAAGCAGAGCTGTTACTCTCCTGCTTTCTCAGACTGGGGGGGTCCAGAGGACTCCTACACACACACCATAGGTTGACCAGCCCTTCTGAACCAGCAGGGCTGAGTGCCAGAGATCAAACTCTCCTGGGTAGTTTTTCCCAGCACCTGATCTCACTGACCCTCCCAAGTCCTTTCCAAAGAGGGAAGTGATGGAGGGAGAAGGCGAGGTAAGACACTTGCTCACTTCAGAACAAAAAGACCCAGACTCATTCCCGGCTGAAGGCAATCCAGTGGTTCTTGCATGTCACGAGTTGTTAGGCCTCAAGTCAATTCCCAATGGACAGATGTCCACATTACAAAGATAACCACCACTATCAGCACTAACTGGCCCCTTTGCCACCAATTTTTGAGGCCAAGGACTGCTGGACCTAGGAGACTGAGGTGCCCTTCAACCCCTGGGGCAGTTACTCAGTGTCAAAGCCACCGCACGCATTGCCAAGGAGGGGGTGTGTGCGTGTATTGCTCAGAACAGATACAGAGCGCCACTCCCCAGGGGTTGCCAACCCATCCCGCTCAGCAATGTGAAAACCGCTCCCTGTGTCAGTCATTCCAACATCACAATCCGCCACCTGTCTCTCCGGGATGAGCTACACAATCCTTTCCTTGTCTCCTACAGAGACAGTTGTGCTGGAGCATCTTTCAATCACAACCTTTAACCATGCTTAAGCCTACAGCACTTTGTGTCCTTTTCCCATTGTCACCTCCTTTCATGACTATGTTCTGCTCTCACAATTAACAAGAGGCTGACGTGCGGGCTTCCTTCGGTGATGATGGCCCATGAAGTGCCATAAGAGGAGTGCTGAGGTTCTGTAGGTCACCTCAGCTGTAATGAAGGGAACAAACAATCTCAAGCAGCTTTTGCAGGGTGGACAAGAACAGCTATTGAGTGCATGCTCACTAACGTCTAATAGCAGGGCTCCTGGCAAGTCTCAAGGGAATCTGTGCGCCCACAGAAACCATCCAGTGTCACAACTGGAATAAGCTGAATCTATCAAGTGGAAGGGCTCAGATACTACCGTGAGGAGCATGGAATACGTGCCTGGATAGGAGCTGGCCTTTGATGTTTTATGCACCGTTCAGAAAGAAGGTCACCCCCCTTCCAAAATGTGAATCTAAATTAACACAGCTCATTAAGCAAAGCAATTCAGCACCGAGAATGAAAATGCAACCTGGCTTTGCTTAGTTCACTGCAACAGCACTTCACCCTTTCATGCTCTTTTAAAGGGCGATAGACTTATGGACTAACGCATTATCTTGTTTCTTTGCTCTTCATTTCTTGCAATAGTCTTTAAGAAGTGTTGAAATATTTCTTTCTCCCACCAGCTTCTGCCTTCTTTTCCATCTTGCAGCCTCTTTAGGTTTATCTCCCTCCCTGCAGAAATGCTGAGCAAATATGGCTCTTGCTTCGTTTGCTTCTGTTATGTAGTTGCATCATCCGTGTTTGGAAAGGTGGTGAATGTGGGCTCCCTCTGCTGGCTGGCTGAACCTCAAGCTCATTCATCAACTGTGGGTTGTCTGTCTTTGGTTTTCATTTCTCAGCCAACAAATCAGTGGGTGGGGGGACCGGAAGGAAAGATATTGAAATGAAGACAGCCTTGCCCCTCATCGCAGTAGAACTGCCCAGGCAATCCTCTCCTCTCCAAGCTCCACAGCAGATCTGGGCTTAGTTACATGGCTCCCCCTGCACGTGACACTTCCAGCGACATCAGTGTTCTGTGCCGCAGAGACCAGAGGAGATGGCCCCATGCACATGGCTGAGAGGAGAATTCGGCTCCCTAGGAGGCAAGTTTAGGGCTTAAAATGCATCACAGCATCTCTGAGACGCTCTAGAACCCGCAGCCAATGCACTTTTCACCCCAAGTCCAGATTTTTGGACTGAGGTGCTTTACAGCATGTAGAAACCACTAGCCTGGGCCATCGAACTAGATCCAAACCCCAGCCTCTTAGATTGATTTGAATATTGGAGTGTTGGTATAGAAGCTCTGCACTGCTTTATATAGCCTCAGAGAATATAAGATCTTAGGGTCACTAGGGGTCAGAGTCAATCCCCTTGCAGGTGCAGGAAAGGCCTCTGGTAGAGCTGTTCTGATCAGATTAAAATGATACTGCACTGGGATAAAGGCAGTGGGCATCACTAGATACTGCTCTAGTTTACCACTGAAGTGTTTCTCTCTCCTGTTTTGCAGAGCTGACTGGTTCCTGTTGGACAGCCGGATGATTCGGCACCTTGCCATTGGCTTGTTCTGCTGCGGTGTTTCCGTCTATTTAGCAGGCAAGCATTTTCATTTCTCTGCAAACGCTGGGATCTCATTCCGCCGGGAGGGAGGGCTCGGCCCCACACAGAACTCACGCATTTCATCGAGAATGCTCTGGCACCTGCCTCCCCCCGGTGCTTTGGAGGTTGCTGAAAACCTATTTATAGGTCAGGCTGCCAGGATCGCTTGCTTCCCAGCCGGCGTCCCCAGGTTCCTGAGTCCAGGTTTATTCCTGCAGTGGTGGGACCGGAATCCTGTTTGCAGCCTGGCTGCAGTGTAACTTCTGGACAGCCCTTCAGCCAACAAACCCTGAGCATGACACCGGGCAGGGCTGTGCCCAAGGAAGGATGGTGCAGCAGTGCTGTGCCAGGACTAGGGCCAGCTGGCTTCAATTCCCTGCTATGCCGGAAGCTCCCTGCGAGACCTTGGGCTAGTCACTTAGGCCAGATCAGTGAGCTCAAGGGGGATTAGGTGCCTAACTACCTTTGAGGATCTGGGTTTTCATCTCTCTGGGTCCCAGTTCCTATCTGTAGACCAGGGATAAGAGCCCTCTCCTGGCTCATGGGAGGCTGGGAAGCGCTCAGATCTTACACTAAGAGGGGCCACAGCCAGACCTGCTGTGCAATCGTGGCCAAGACACTTAGCTTCTCTCTGCCTTAGTTTCTCCCTTTGAAGAGGCCATAACACTGAGAAAGGAGCAGAAGGCAGCTGTGGTGTTTTGGGATTCGGGGGAGCAGGGGGAAAGGGGGACAATAGCAAGTAGTTTTAAAAGACTTTGTGACCTGGTTTTTGAGATACTGTAATGCTTCTGCCATTTGTCTTATGAGGGAGAGGCTGGACACCCCCCACCAATACCCCCATGATGCCCCTCCACGGTGCTGGCTTTCTCCCGGAGATTGGTGGGGAGAGCACACCTCCGTTCTCCCTGGAGCCTGTGACAGGTGTGGCTGTGACAGGCAAGTCCCCAAACCCAGCCCCTGGCTTTACACAAACAGGGCCATTAGTCAATGAGCTAGGGGGATCTAGAACATCAGTTAGAGCCACAACATCTGCCCAAGGAGATCCCAGTCCTCCACTGGGCCTTTACACACCACTCCTGGCTAATCGCTTGTGGCTTTGGCTTCAGAAGCTTTTAAAAGGAGAAGGCAGCTCTCATCCCCGCATGTCCCCGAAGACAAGGCGTGTGGGCAGCGTCCTCTCTTGGCACCCAGGCCATCCAGCGCTGCAAGAAAATAGCAGAGAGCTCACTAGCAAGTGTCATGACTGACTAGCACCTTGGAGGCTCAATGTGGCACAGCCAGGACTCCCCCCATGTGATAGCACTGTGGATAACCCCTCTCGCTGCCTCTAGGAGCAAAGGAATTGCCAGGCTGGATCAGCCCAAGGTCCAGCTAACCTAGGTTCCCGTCTCCAACTGTGGCCGCTGCCAGCTGCCTCAAGGGAAAGTGTAAGAGTGCTGTCGGGGTGGGATAACCCGGACCCAGGGAAAGTCCCTTTCTGCCCCTATCTGTATCTCTGATGAGCTGGATGCCAGGCTTCAGGGGCCAGGCTGCAGCTCTGTTAATGGAGCCCTTTCAGGAGTGGGGCATTCAGACACTATATTTTTCTTTTTTTAAGATTTCAAAATAAAAAATTTAATCCAACTATTTAACAGGCAGTGTGGGCATGGCCAGGCGCCAGCTGCTGGTAAAGAGTGAGCAGAAGAGCAGCACAGAGGAAAAGCAAACACCAAGAACAGGCGGGCAGAGCACACAGGGATTAGTCACCGGTTAAGCCTCAGGAACGTGCCGGGTACTGTGCATGCCTCAATGAGGGGGGTTTTCCAAAGCACCCAGGTAAACAGGACTCAAGTTCCTAACTCACTTAGATCCAGATCCACAAGGGAGCTAGGTGCCTAAATACCTTTGAGGACTGGGAACTTGGGCGCCTTTGAAAATACCCCCTCCCCACCCAGAAATGGGTCCTGTGGGTAAGTGAAGTCCAGAATCGGGCTCGTGAGGCAGTCGCAGAGTGAAGGAAACTGCTTTCGCTCAGATTGAGATGGGACGTTCAATCAAAACGGGACATCTCTCCCGAAGAGCTCGGCACTTGCTCAGCCACAAGAGGTGGGCTTGGCCCAGGACTTGTTTCCCTTGTGTGTCAGACTACTGGCCTTCTTATCTCTGCCTTTATCTCCTTCCCCTCCAGCTCTCTCCATCTACATGCTGCTGCTGTTTGAAATCGAGACTGGCATAACCAGCGCCTGCATCCTGTCCTCCGGGATCATTGTCCTGCTGATCACGGTGACACACGCCCTCATCAGGGCCTCCCAAGCCTCACGGCGCAGCCAGTCTGAGCTCTGCCGCACCCTCTACGAAAACGACTCTGCCCGGCGCAGTGACACCCCGGCCAGTGACCTCAACAACAGCAAGAACATGGCTGCAGCCCGCCCGCGGCCAGAGATCCACCGAGAGTTCTCCTACCCACCATACATAGAGCAGAAGCCCCACCTTGCCTCACCAGCCAGAGGCAGCTTCACCTTGCCAGGAAGCCATAGGCCCCTGGCTGAGAAAGATTGCTGCAACCTTCCCCGGACACACAGGACGCTGTCGGCAGAGCCAGGCCTGCTGCAGGTGCAGGGCAAGCCCTGGAACAGCGTCACCCAGGAGATGAGGAATATTTTGTCGCGGAAGCCAGGAGCCTCCGGGAAGGATTCAACTTTGGTGTGAAGGCTGGAGTGGGGAAGTCTCATCCCAATGCTGCCAAGATCTGCATCTCCCTTTAGCCTTTCACATGGGCCACTCCCCACTCCGTCCCCACCTGAACAGCTAAGATACCTGCCCAGGAACTCGACAAGACATTGGGCGAGAGGAAATCTACTGTCCCACCCAAATAAAAGGGACTTGGCGTCCCTCCTGTCCGGACTGCACTGAGATGGAGGGGCTTGAGAGGGGTGCAGAGTTTTAAAATTATATCTTACTCCTCCTGAAGTCTGGAGGATTATATCAGAGCTCCTTCCCAGCTGGGCTGGGGTTGCCGTTAACCAGCCTAATGATTGTAGTGGGCAATTAGAGTTGAAAGGTGGCTCCGTAAAAACTACAGCCTGCTGCGTTCTGCCTCTTGCATCGCCCTCCTGTGAGTAAAGCTCCTACCCTGGCAACTCGGGTGATGCAGGAGACAGAACAGGGCCCATGACAGCTCTGCAGGACAGAGAGGTACCAAAGTGCAGGAAAGGGAGTGGGGGTGAGCGGTAGCGTCACTTGTCTAATTAGAGCTGCACTTCAAAGTTCCCATCACCCCTTTCCTCCCGGGTCGGCCTGAGCTGGGAGGGGCAGACAGGAACTGGCTCAGTAAGGCAGAATGGCATTAGCTGCATGTTGTGTGAGAGAAAAGAGGGCAAAAAAACAGCCAGTATCAGCCATAGGAGAGTGGCCATCCTGTGTGCTGCCTTCTCCCACAGCCCAGCTCCCCTCTGCACCCCAAGCTTTTTGTCCTTGCTGGTCCCTCTCCAGCCTGCTCCTGTTGTTCTTTCGCTGGCACTACGGAGGTTTAGACAGTTCGTGTGGCAGACTCACCACCCAACGCAGCTGCTGTATGTTATGGTGAAGCAGAGATTGCTATTCCACTCAGAGAGGCAAAACCAGCCACTGATGGGAGGGGTAGAAGAAGACGCAGCTGGAGAGTTAGACTGAGGGAGAGGAGGTTGGAAGGTGGGCGTGAGAGAGCAGGGCCCGCTGCTCACTGACCTGGCCTTGCCCAAGGTTCCTTACTGTCTCCAGGACTGGGCACAGACACAACTCAGTCAACAAGATCACTTCCTGTGGCAAAACCTTTGCTCCAGCATGAACAGCTGTGTCTGAATGCAGGCAGCTGCTGCTTGCCAGAAACATGGCCCTGCACATAAACAACAGCCTTTGTATTCACTTTTCCTTGTTCTTTAATTGCCTACAAAGGACATATGCAAGGGAACAAGATCTTTGTTCACTTGGCCCTACTGCTGGTTTCCCCACTGAAAAGGATAATCCTGGTGACAAATGCAGTGGGGGTTGCCAGGAGATTGGTGGTTACACAGACAGGGCTAGGATTGACAGAGCTGGAGCAAGTGAAACAAGAGCCCTGTTTGGCGCAACTGCGTGGTTAGTACAAGAGAGAGAGAAATGCACAATAAAAATACAACAGATGGTGCTGGTTACCGTGAGACCCACCCAGTTCTTTAAACGGAGTCTGATTCACCATTGTGTGACTTTCACTGTTATAACTCCATTGATTTCCAAGTGTTTCATACCAGAAGTCCTAGCACAATGACCTGGCAATAAGTAAAATCAGGGTTTTTTTAAAGCCATGTTTCCTGCCCTGCCAGCTGCAAGGTTCATTCCAGGTTGCCCAAAGCAGCAGCGCAATTTATTTATTCTGACTCCTGGTCTCATTATTCGGGTGCTAGCTTTAGGACAGCAATGGGTGCAGCCTTGCAAGGAGCGAGTGGAGACAGAGGCCACATTTCTGGATTAACAAACCTTGTGCATCACGCTATTAAAACACAGCTGTGTTCCTGAGCACACAGCGATGGCTAAAATACAGAGTTTATCTCTTTGAAGTGGGGTGTGATTGTTTGGGGTCATTCGCCACTCTCAGGAAATGCCAGGCTAAAACCTTTTTTCTGATCTCAAACCCCCTTATGCCCCTTTCTTCCCAGCCCTGGAAAAATGACCTGCTTGTTAAATTCCTTTCCACTGAAAAGAAACATGGAGTTGTCGGCGCCAATGAAAAAACAAAACTTAAGCAACACCCCTTTCCAACTGCCAAGCTGTGTGCAGGCCTTTTTCCCATCCCACTTCTTTATGGTGTCTAAAGAAGGAATTTGGGGTGCCTAACTACCTTTGACAGGTTTCAGAGGAACAGCCGTGTTAGTCTGTATTCGCAAAAAGAAAAGGAGTACTTGTGGCACCTTAGAGACTAACCAATTTATTTGAGCATGAGCTTTCGTGAGCTACAGCTCACTTCATCAGATGTTTACCGTGGAAACTGCAGCAGACTTTATATACACACAGAAATCATGAAACAATACCTCCTCCCACCCCACTGTCCTGCTGGTAATAGCTTATCTTATGTAAAGAGTTGTCACTTTGGATGGGCTAGCACCAGCAGGAGAGTGAATTTGTGTGGGGGGGTGGAGGGTGAGAAAACCTGGATTTGTGCTGGAAATGGCCCACCTGTTGATCACTTTAGATAAGCTATTACCAGCAGGACAGTGGGGTGGGAGGAGGTATTGTTTCATGATTTCTGTGTGTATATAAAGTCTGCTGCAGTTTCCACGGTAAACATCTGATGAAGTGAGCTGTAGCTCACGAAAGCTCATGCTCAAATAAATTGGTTAGTCTCTAAGGTGCCACAAGTACTCCTTTTCTTTTTGCTAACTACCTTTGAGGATCTGGGACGTGTGCATTCCAAAATTAACCACCACTTCCCACTGACGTAGGAAGGACTACATCTAGCCAATATCATTGCCCTTTGCTGCAGTGCTTTTCAGTTTGAAGGGGAATAGTCTTCTAAGAAACCTCACACAGACCGGCCAGAAAGTTTAAGGGTGGAAGATTTCTCACCCTTCCAGCTGGCCAAAGAGATCACTGACCTGGGCTGGATGAAAAAGGCCAGTCTGGTCTGAAATCAGGAACTGGCTGGCAGATTCGGGGCTTGCAGGGCAGCAGCGCTGTAAGAAAATAATCACATCCACCAGGAGATAAGGACAGCAGTATACATGGGAGCGTGCAGCACCAGGGCTTCCTCATCTACAGCCTCTAAGCCTGGAGCCCTCCATCTGCAGCGTAGGGACAAGTGTGGCTCATGGAATTCTAACTGTAGCCATTGGACATGCCCATCTTTAATACAGGGGGGTAGCCAATGGAGGCTACATGGCCCCCATACCTGCCTCCTGGGATGTCAAGACCCACAGTCTCTGTGGCCTCACTTCTAACTGCTGTTGGAATTTGCTCCACTGTGTGTAAATTAGGCATGGCCCCAGGAAAGTTGGAAACATGGCAAAATACGAGAGGTCGTAGCCACAAACATCTAGCACAGAAAGTCACTTGGCACAGAACCGGGCATTCTGCATGCTTTAGCCATGTGCTTGCAACAGAAAATTCAAAGCTGTTAGGTATATGGAGCAGCATTTGTGAGTTTCACTTCCACAAAGCCCTGACACTCATGCCATTAAGGCTCTTGGGGCGATGGACTGAACATACTAGACTCAGCCCATCTACTGGCAGATGCTGGAGTAGCTTTCCTTTTGCTGCAAACAGCAAAATGCATCCTCCAGCTACACTGACCAGTGGCAAATCCCATCCACAGACAGAGCCCCGCAAACGACCTAATGAACAGTATCCCATCCGGGTGGGGACCCTGCTTCGCCATACACTCCTTTCTTCAGCGCTAAAACATTCATTTATTATTATGGCCCTCACCATGCTACAAATATATTTAACACTGCACAAAAATGCTACATATTAGCCAAAGAGCCACCCCCCCCCCCGACTCCCTTCTTTAAATGTATGGAAATAAGTTATTTTGCAGGAAACATGTTGTAAACAAGAGGGTTTTCTTCCTAAAGTAAAGTGAACCAGAGTTTCACTGCAAGGCAAGGAGCTTATTCTTTTAAATAATAGCACAGAGTCACATTACGGGTGTAACTGCTTGGCTTGTCTGTAGTTTGCAGAGTTACAGCTAGTGAAGCCTTCAGCAGTCACAGAACAGTCATTCCTATAAAGCGGTAGGGCAATTATCAGAATTCAGGGTGTCAGACTCCCGAGCTACCTGCGGCCCTGAGCAGAATTCAGCTGATCCTTCACAGTGATGGCATGCTTGAGCAGCCTGTCGATGCTCTCGAAATACACGCTGCTGTCCATCATGTTCTTTATGGCGCTGAAACAGACCAGGTGGAACAGGGGATGCAGTTAATACCTTCGAGAGCTTCACGGGTTTAGAATATACATGCACGCCGGTGAGGGGATGGCTAAGAAGGAGTTACAGCTACATATGGAATTTTGCATCTTCAAACACTAGCTAAGGGGTGGATTTCTTGGGAGAGACTGGCAGGTTTGTATTGCCCTCAACAAAGGGTGCATCAGACTCAATGAAAAGAACGAGACCTAACAGTAACATTTCAGAGAGCTGTGCCTGCTGTCAGCATGCCTCAGGCCTGACTCTCTGCTGAGATGGGGCCACTCAGTGCCAGCTGTGGGCTCAGTTCATCACTGCCCTGCACCTACACCAGTGCCAAGCGAGTGCAAACTGCCACCATTCTGATTCCTGCTGCTTGACACTTACTTTACAGTGGTGTGAATGGCTCGGCTGGGAAGGATGAACTGGGTCTTGTGCTGGTGGAATGGGCGGGCAGGAAGCTCTTACAGAATCTTGTGTGTGAGAGCAGCCAAGCAACACCCATAAACGGATGGGTTTGGGATTGATTGGGTTTTAAATCAGAGGCCAAAATGTCCAAGTCAAAGTGCCTAGAGTGAATCCATAATAAGGCTCCTAAACACAAGTGGCTGGATTACTCCCATTACACCAGGAAGAGTTGAGGGAGCTCAGCCTTTCTGGAAGGCAGGCCCCCTTTATCGAAGGACCCATGTGCGCAGGTGCCTGGCTTTGACCTGCCGGGTTTGAAAATAGGAGTTACGTTTAGTTCTTAAAATATTTCCCCTTCCCCCAAAGCAACTGACCCCCAAAATAACCAACACAGCTTCTCATCACTAGCCATCAGGAGCAGGGAAAACCTTGGGCACGACACAGTGAGCTGAACGGTGCTTTCAATGGGAGTGAAAACGCACCTGTACTGTGAAATCACCAGGATGGGAGTGGAGGGGGAGAACAAACTGAGCCTCCTCACCAGCTCCTTTCATTTACCATAGGTTTGAAAAAGGAAGGGCTGCTGCCCCAGAGAAGTGCAAACTTCAAAGCTCTCCCAGCACCCTGCTGTACCTGCAGGCATACTCCACGGTATAGATGGCTCCTTGACTCTGCTCCTCCCAGCTCTGCATGTCAGCCTGAAAGGCAGATCACAGGGAACGCAGAATGAAACTTCTTGTCAGGAAAAGTGAAGGCGCCCCTATGTACTAGACAGACGTACAACCCACATCACACACACAACTAGCACCAATGCAGCCCATTCACCGACACACTACATAAGCATAGGGAACACCTGAAGAAAAGGCCACCTGTGGTCTAGCAGGGAGACATTGCAGTTCAGTGGTTAGAGTAGCAGGTTGGCAGTTCTGCTCCTGGCTGTCTTACTGACACGCTGAGTGATCTTGGGCAAGTCATTTTACCTCTCTAGGCCTCAGTTTCCCTATATGTAAAATGCTGTTTTCCTTCCTTTGTAAAGCGCTATAGCGCTGGTAAGATCACATATCATGGCTTGACTGGAAATGCACTACTCAGCCAATGATAAATACCACACATAGGTCTTAAATTCTGTGTAACATTTAATTCACTGCCATCCACTGCAACATCCGACAGCCAGATGTCGCCTTCCTTGTAGGTTCCCATGTCCCCCTGTCTCACACAGCCTTGAGGTCTCATTGTTTATAGCTGGGAACTGACGGGAGGCAGGCCGAATTCAAAGCTGAGGTTACGGTACACGTTGTGCACATTAAGAAAATGAATCCCACATCACTTCAACCTTTGCCCTCTGCTGCTTTTTGCTGGGAATCACATTCTGAGTCCCTCTCCCATTTTACAGGTTAGCATCGCTGCTGGGGCTTTTTCCGAGAGCTATACTCAGACTAAGAGTGCACTGGTTTTGTTTTTAAAAGGAGCTGCTGCCTGGAGCTAAATACTTTGCACAATCTGGCAAAATTTCTCTTGGCTGTGAATGCGTCCATGACACAGCTGAGAGCCAAGGTGAGGCAGATGAACCAACGAGCTGCTAAAGCGAATGCTACCGATCATCTGGAAGTTCCAAAGCATTCCACGCAGGTGGCACGTCCATTCCAGCTGGTGCGGCTACCATCCGAGCTGACCCAGTCCCCATCAATTCCAACCCAGAGCCCCAAGAGAAAAGCAGACAATCAGCATCTTTCACAATTCAGGAATCTCACAGGAACTGCTCTGGTGAACATTTTTACAGCCTGCTTGCAAACAGACTTTTCCATCCTCCAGTCTGCTAAGAAATCCCAGTGCGCTCGGAGCCAGAGCATAAGTAAAGACTTATACTATTAATAATAATAATGCACATTCCTATAGTTCCTTTCATCTCAAGGGCTCAGTAAGTGCTACACAAACTATGCATAGGATCACTTCATGCAAATCTGATAAGCAGCAACTCTGGTGTGGGACATAACAGCACACAGCAACACTATGGAACAGCTAAGAACAGAAAGTGAAAAAAGCAAAGCACAATGAAAAGACAGATGAATTTAGTGAGGGGGGAAGATAGGAATTATCCATGCTTAAATTTGGCCAGAACTTGTAGGCTTAATAGGTAAAATTTACAGAACTAGCTAAGTCATTTAGACACCATTGAAAATTTTACCCAGCAACCTCTTGTCTTTGCAAAAAGTGCCAGGGGATCGTTAATGATCACTAGTGGTCACAATGGCTCTTACCCCAAACCGGCAGCACCGTGTTGCTTAGCACCATTCTGGTACACAGGCTCACTATGGACTCTAAGGGAAAAGTACCCCAGTATATGAATCCCCAACACGGGGAGAAGGCAAAGCTCCAAACCCCTTTGACACTTCTAGCCTATCAGCAGATAGATTAAAGCAAAATCAAGCTAAGCACTTATTTCTGTTCAGAACCTTTCCCCCCAGACTCACAGCACAGCAGGAGGGTTTACCATACCCTCTGGGGCTCTGGAATCTGCTGGCTAAAATGCCCCAGAGTCTGTTCAAAGATGTTACTGATTCCAGAAAAGCCAGTGGTCTTACAGGACTGCAGGTGACCTCCCTGAATGATCTATGGCTAGCAAACCTGGAAGATTTTCAGTGCAAGTACTAACCAGGCTCCACACTGCTCTGCTTAGCTCTGCTCTAGTTACTTGTGAAGCCAACAGAGTAAGAGTAAAAGGTGACAGAGCTGGGCTGGGCTGACACAGTGGCTGAGGTAGAGGGTTAGGGGGATGAACAGAGGAAATTACAAAGCTACAACCCTCCAGAGAGCGGCTTTGCTTTGGCCCCAACATCCCCTAGCACTAGTAGGTTTCCAAGGTTGCCTTGTATCTGAGGCCAGGCCACGTCTGTTCCTAGCATTCTCACTACTTCCTGGGGCTTTCATGTTCTTAATTAGGAAAAAGAGCCTTTCCAACGTGCTCCTGTCTTTTTAATCTTTTCACAACGTCCTCTCTCAGAATTCCCAGGACATCTCCTTGCATGGGGTTTAACAGCTAAAGCCAGCTAATGATATGCGATAGCACTAATGATGAATTGTGGTCGCTCAGCAGTAAATTAACGAGGAGTTCTACACCCCTGAAAGATCAGGGGAAATCCAAAAAGGCGGCTTTGTGCAGCACAAGAGCAGAGCTTAGCAATGCAGCTCAGACACAGCGAGGCACCCTGGGCCCTGCATCTTGCTGTATCTTATCAGCGAGGTGTTAAGTCTGCCTGGAGAGCTTGAGATGGATGAAGGTTTAAGCTTATTTTTAATCAAATCACTGAAAGTCACAGAGGTGACCTTCTCCCTGCACCAACCTTTCCTCCTAAATCACCCCCAACAGTTTATTCCTATTTAAACTCTCTGGGAATCTCTAAGGCCATATCTCCAGAGAACCATATGACCTGGAACTAGAGGAGACCTATTAAATCCCATCTATACTGGCCAGCAGAGGACAAAGAAGAGCAATCTGACATTCATCTGCTGCCTTCACAGAGGTACTAGGTAAATTATTTTCCTCCCTTTTCAGGCAAAAGTCACTCCTGAGTCAGGACTGGTGGCCAACGCAGGAGAGGGATCAAGCAGAGCATCAAGGCCTCAATTCCTGCTTGTGAATACTTATAGCTGTGACACTAGCATGGGCAGAAATAGGGACAAGGCCCTCTGGGTCACTGAAATATGGCTAGATGACAGTCTTCTTTCTGTGGGAGGAAAGTGAAAAAAGACAGCTATCTTGGCTAAAAATAGGAGGGACGGCAAGTAGCTACAAACGTGAACTCAAGCAACCTCCAGAAAGGTCACTCAGTTTTGAGGATAATCATGAAGACAACCCCAGCTAGCTGAGGAAGTCAGTAAATTAAAGATTGAGAAGGCTCCCCTCAACGCCCCCCGCTCCCACTGCCTAACAACATTCTATGTGTCTCGAGCATTCACCCTGCTGTCTTTTCCAGTAGGGTTTCAGTGTCCCCCTACCTTTTTTGGCACAAACTGTTCAATGCTGGCACCCAGCTCTTCCCTCTGCATGGCTTGTCATACAATCTGCTCAGTTTTCTTTTGTTCAGGACACACTCCCTGAAATTGGGCCTATTCTGATTAAATCAAGGTGAGTGACAACTCGGGAATTGTATTACAAACGTGTCCCGCAAACCCTGGTGATGTGACCAGATCAATGTTGTATATAGAGATATGTACATATGTGTAGTGCCTCTGCACACAGAAACATACATAAATAGTTAATAAATAAGTAAATAATAAAGGGCCACAATCCGGGTTAATTTGGAAACTAAGGTTGTAAAGCAAAGGTGAGAAATGAGGACTGACAGTGCATTAGCATACACATGGAGCAGTAATCTATTCACGAGGCATCACTCCTAATGAATCATGACTGGCAGAAAAGGGAGAAAGACACCAGGGCTAGCATTAAAGTGTCAGCACTCCGTGCTTTGGAGGAAAGGGGAAGCGCAGCTGTGGGCTGCGATTCATTAGTGTCCTTTGCCTCTGGTGGGCTCTTTTTACTTGTTTCTCTCCCCATATTTTATGCAGGAAATAAAAACACCTTGCAGCACAGCCAGGGGAAATGAGATTTAAGATCTCCCCTCTCTCCAAACAAGGCAGGTAGCTCATTTTATTTTGTCTCCATGTATGGAATGGAGGGGCTGTCACCCAGTGGTTAGAGCCAAGGGATGGCAGTCAGATTCCTGGGTTCTTCTCTTGGCTCTGCTACTGTCTCAGGGCGTGAACTTGGAAAGGCATGTCACCTCTCCTAGATTCAAGCTGACGCGGGGGAAACACATCGCTCCTAGACAACCTCCAGCCTTCACTGGTCCAGGAAGTAAGGAATCGAAACCCAACACAGTACTCTAGGCTCCCCCCTGGCAGTGCAAAATGCAGTCACTAGAGGGCCAAGGGGTTCTGGTCACTTTGGGTCTACTACTGCCAGCAACTATCTGAAGCAGCTTATTATGTTACATGACTTTGCCCTTCTGAGGATCCTTTCATCCGAAGTTCTCAAAGTGCTGTACAAACATTAATTAGATAAGTCTCACAGCAGCCCTGGAAGTCCAGTCATACCATCTCAATTTTACAGATGTGGAAACTGAGGCACGGAGCAGCAAAGCGACTCTCCCAAGCCACAGAACAATTCAGTAGCAGATCTGATAGAACCCAGGAGCTCTGGCTCCCAACCCCTTTCCTCTAACCATTACACCGTACTCCCATCTTGACTTGATTATCCTGTTCTCTCCCACCTCACAGAGTCAGGAAAAAATGGCCAGGGGTGCTAGTGTCATGGGAAGAAAGGCAGCTTGCACCCTGTTCCTGCCAGCCCTGGACTCCTGACCCAGACTGGCTCTCACCTTGTGCTGGGCGAGTTCCGGAAGTGAGCGCCTGACATGCTCCTGCAGCCGGTACAGTGCCACAGACGGCTCGTTGGCCAGGATGTACATGCTCTCCGTGAATTTGTCTGTAACTAAAATAAGCAAAACAGCTGCATTATTTAAAATGGGAATAAAACGGGGAGAAGGCAGAGCTCCAAACCCCTTTGACACTTCTAGCCTATCAGCAGGTACGCTAAAGCAAACTAAGCACTTATTTCTGTTCAGAACCTTTCCCCCCAGACTCACAGCACAGCATCAGGGTTTACCATACCCTCTGGGGCTCTGGAATCTGCTGGCTCTTCCAGGTTTGCTAGCCACAGATCATTCAGGGAGGTCACCGGCAGTCCTGTAAGACCACTGGCTTTTCTGGGATCAGTAACATCTTTGAACAGACTCTGGGGCATTTTAGCCAAACCAGCAGATTAGCAGAGCCTTAAATTAATCTTAAAGGGGAAAGTTAGCTCTGGTTCCTGTGTGAGCAAGCAGCCTGGGAGCAAATCGGGGTACTGACATCACAGAAATCTAGACTGACCTCGGGTTTGAGGTTCCCTTCCGGCTGCTCACCCAGTTCCATGCATCATGCTTCTTACATCTCAACAGCCCCCATGGGGATCCTAACGGAGTATGCCATGAACACACAGTAGCATGCAGTCAGTGTGACAAACCCATTGTATGGACATGGCTCTGGACCACAGACTGCCCTGCCAGAAAAAGCCCTAGACAGCTAGGGCACAATGGCTTTAAAACCCAGCAAACTGCTTTGAGGCAGGAGGTAAACAAATTCCCTTCCAGCCCAGCTGATGTCTCCATGACCAGCTTTTAAAGCCACTAAATGCTGTTTCTTGAAAGTGCTGCATCACTTTCAAGCTCTCAATCCTGAAGGCTGTGCGTCACACTGTCCCACCACCTCTGTGATCTCCCCCATCCTTCTCCCAATCCTCCTCTCCTTCCATTCCTAGCATTGCACCATCTTTCTCACCACCCCCTGTGCTTGGGGCAAACTGACACCACCCTCTTCCTCATAATAGCACAATACCTTTAGGAAACCTTCCCCTATGGATATCCCCACAATGTTCTTTAGAGAGGCAGTACGGTCTAGTGAGTAGGGCACTGGACCAGGGCTCAGGAGACCTGAAGTCTATTCCCAGCTCTTGACCTACTGTGGGACCCTGGGAAAGTCACATCCCCTCTCTGCATCCACCCCTTTCCCTTCTCACCCTGAATCTGTCTCTTTCTGGAGCACGCTCTCACTATGTGTTTGTACAGCATCTGGCACAATGGGGCCCTGGTCTTGGCGCTAAACACGACCGCAATACAAATAATTGACAACACCTTTCTTGTGATTTAAAAGGTTTTATTTATTGAGCACAGACAGTGTGCCTGACTCCATACACAAAGGGGAGACGTGAACCCTGCCTTCTGGCTCACAAGCTCCATATCCTGTGAATTAGATTGCAAGCTTTTGCGGGGAAGAGAGTGCCTCCTCTTTGTGGGTTTGCAATGCCCCATATCCACCTACAGCCCCTTATAAATCATAGCTATCTGAAACAGAAAGATCAGAGAGGGTTTTCAGGAGTAACCTTTCAATAGTGGATGTAGATTTTTTATTTTATTTTTTTTTAATCACAGCAAAAGTAAGTAGTGGGTATTTTTTGCCATATTTAAATACACTGGTTTATGGCTCAACTAGTCCTGAGCCCACGCATAGCGTGAGCTGGCTGATCTTTTGGAACTGAATACATTTTTTAAAAAAAAAACAAGTTCCTTTTAAGGCAAATAGCTTTGCTTCCCCTGCTCTCAGCTTTTGTTTCATTTGTAAGTGTTCAGTTATTGCAGTGTTTTCTGTTAGCCAACTTTCCAAACTGCTTGAATACAGATGTAGATAAATTCTAAGCTTTGCAAAACACGTTGTAGCCACGTGCCAACTACACGTTCCAAAAAGGACACAGACACCCACTACTCATCTGACGTGCAGATGTGAGGCCATGTTTGTGTTGGGACTCACACAATGTGCTGTGGCAAGGAGGGGAGAGAAAGAGGAAGTAGCATCTATGTGACTGTTATTAAGCACAGATGAACAGACCCTTGGATGGTACGGCCCTGGAATGTGAGATTCAAAAGGGGATTGGACAGTTGTCTGGACAGCAAGAATATCCACGGTTATAATAGTTAATGCTAATAAAAATTCTGGAAGAGATATTAAACCTCAAGCCTCCGATTTAAGCCAATTTCTAATTATTAGAAATCAAGATAAGATATAAGGCAGGCCCGCATCTGCTACTGGGACGTTCTTATATCTTTCTCTGAAGCATCAGACACTGGCCACTGTCACAGACAGGATACTGAACTAGATGGATGCTGGGTCTGATCCAGTCTGGCATTTCCTATGAAATCCCTTTTACTTCCAGACTCACACGTTTGGGGATCTCTGTGGCAAGATGCTTTTACAGACACATTCAATCTCTGGCCTAGAGCTTTTGTTGCACATCCTGCCGCTTCATTTCAGCTGCCTTTGTATATTTCCAAATGCCCACAAAACACCAAAGCCCAGAAGTGTTACTTTTTCAGGTCTTGTCAACACTGGGGTTTTAGTCACCAGTGCAAACCAACAACATAGACATGGTTTATACCAGTGCAAAAAAAGTTGCAGTAGTGCATCTTATCCCAATTTCCAGGTGTCTGCTTCAAACTGGGCTGCAGCAACATCAAGTCATATCTGCACTGGTGCAGCTAAATCAGTAGCCAAAAAACCCCAGGGAGATTCTTTTAACCAAATCCTTCCTCTTGTTTTAATTCACATGCGAAGGCTCTGCCTGCTAACCACAGACCTGCAGCAAGTCAGACAGCCATGGATTTAATACACTGCAAGAGGTCAAGGCAGTCTACTGAAATAAAAAGTCAAAACAAACATTTTAAAATGTATCTTTTTTAAAAAAAAAAGCTCTTTAAATGAGCCACAGGAGCAGTCTGTGGAACTCCTCGCTGCAGGACGGTCAGCTTAGGACGGGTCAAAAAAAATAATCAAGATTTATCTGGAGAAGAGACACAAAGTAGCCGTGGTCGGGGGGCAGTTAGGCTATAACTGTCAGCCCCGCACCACCCACCCACGGGGGCCACACAGAAACCCTACAAGTGCACGAACCGCGGGGCTGACCTGGGGCTCCATAACTGCCCCGCCCCAATACGGAGAAGGCCCTATGGCCACCCAGGAGGGCAAGCTGGGGCCCTATACCCCCCTAGGGGGCTGCCCTGGGGCTCTGGAAATACCCTCCCCCATCCCACCTATGGGAGGCCCTACAACGCCCTTATCCCCCCCCATCGCCGGGCATTTCCTGGGGCCCTCTGACCCGCCCCGTGCCCCGCCCATCACGGCCCCCGCCGGAAGCCGTGGCGCCGCCATTTACCTTTTTTCACCTTGAGCTGCATCTCGGTCTCCTCCATCGCGGGCGGGGGGTAGCAGACGCCGAAGCCAGCCCGGAACCCCAGCCAGGGGCAACTTCCGGCTCCGCGGTGCAGCGCTCGAAACGGCCCCTCCGGAACCCGCGCGACGCCGCGGAGGTTCCGCCTCTTCTCTTGCTCCCTCGCCCGCCCCTGTGTACTGCACATTCCCTAGGCCGCTACCATCTGGGGCCAGTGAGCGACCCCTTCCCTGTGGGACCCTCCCCTCCGAGCTGTGTGGCCCCATAGGGTGTGACTTCCCCACCCCAGCAACCCCCAGCTGCCAGCCCTGCTTCTGTCTGCCAGCCCCAAGAGGTAGGGGTTTTCTGTGGCAGGCATAATGGGACAGTGTCTCTGCCCCCGAATGCGCTAGAATTAAATGTGCAGGGTTATCACGACGGCTGTTGTAAATTCCGCCCCTGCTTACCCCTTGGGGGCCCCCACCTGGAAGGAACGCAGATGCTGGGGCAAGCCCACAGCGTTTCCAGGTCCCCTGATTTCATCCGGAGCCTCCTAGTGCTGCTAATGCCAAGTGGTCGGAACTCATGAGTCACGTTCCAAAAAAATCACGAGATTGGTGCAACGATGCCCTCAGAGCGTGACCCCCTTCCCCGTTGCCATGGACCAGGGCCAAGTGGAAAGGCCCTGGCTGCTACCCCTGGTGATAATAGTATGGGGGTGGAGGGGTTCTTCCCATCGCCCCTGCCCCTACCACTGTCCCCCTTGTATGTGGGGACTTAGTGACTCCCCTGTGCACTGAGGCAGGAGGGGGCAACTGGCGTCACCAGCATTGTACAGAGGGGCGAGTAGGCACCAGTGCTCCACATGACCTTGCTTGTTTGACGGCACTTTACACTGCTGTGACCTGGCTGGCCTGACAAGGTCAAGACTCTTTCAGTCTAAGGAGAGCAGCTGATATGTCTTGCCTCAAGGTGCTTCAATGGCAGACATATGCCCAGGGGCACCATAGGTCACTCGCTGTATATGCACTAAGCAATTCTGCAGGGCCCCGGCCTCTAGGGAGCATTGCATTGTGATCCTGCACCTTGTACATAATGTGCCAAACTCTCTCAGCCTCATAAAGGATTTCTTTGGCCTGTGTTATTTGGTCAGTTGGCTGTACATATGATCCACCGGTGAGAATCCGGACCAGATGGAGTCTTTAGAGAGGGGAAAATTGCTTACGAGTAGTTCTGTTTCTCTGGAGATACTGTCTGGCAGGATTCTCATCCCCCCCAGCATTCCCCCCACCTCTGCCATTTGGATTTTCTTTGAGGAGGGGGTGATGTGTGTGGGGTTCACAGTCTAGGCAATCACGTAATAGGTACTCATTGCCTGATCTGCAATGCTGGTCGCGAGAGAGAGAAAGGGGGTTGTTTATATTCTTGTGGAGTGAGATGCTTGCATGTCTCACACTGGAGGCACGAGACCCAGCAGTGAGAATCCGATGAGATGATCCAAGAAGCAGAATAGCAGAGAAGTAATCTGCCATTACCCACCTTCATTCAATAAGTACATAAAGCTCTGAGATCCCAGGACAGAAAGAAGGTCAACATACCATTATTCCGATTCCCCAGACAGAACACACATGGATTATGACGTGGGGGAGAGGAGGGATTTTCAGTGGAGATTTTAATTAGCAATTGGTAAAGAGATTTTTAACTCAAATGTAGTTTCAGTGCTAACATACAGCTGCAAGAGCAGAACACCTAGGGAGGTGGTAGAATCTCCTTCCTTAGAGGTTTTTAAGGTCAGGCTTGACAAAGCCCTGGCTGGGATGATTTAACTGGGAATTGGTCCTGCTTCGAGCAGGGGGTTGGACTAGATGACCTTCTGGGGTCCCTTCCAACCCTTATATTCTATGATTCTATGATCTACCAAAACGTTAGACAGAAAACTAGACACCTTTGAAAATAAGTGCCTATGAAATATCCTGGGCATTGTATGGGAAGATTTCATCACCCACAGAGAGAGACAAGAAATCACCAATCAGCAGCTTGTCTCCACTAGAATCAGAAGGAAGTGCTCAACATACGTAGGGCATGTACTCTGGAGACCAACACAGACTCCCCAGGAAGCTGTTCACCAACTGGTGTGAGGAAAGGAGGGTGCCCAAAAGAAAGCTTAAGAAGACCCCCTAGCAGGGAGGGCAGAACAGTTGTTCTTAACATCACAGAGCAGCTGGAAGCAGCAGCAAATGACAGAGAGCACTGGCAGGGAGTGGGACTAGTTTTCGCCCTGTGCAGGATGCAATACTAATAAACAAGATCTGGAATCCAGGCACCTTGGCATCTAAAGTAGAACCACACCCGCCCTGTCTCCTGCCCATGCCGCCCTCCCACGCTAGCTGAAGGCCTGGCTTCCTCCAGCACCTGCCGCAATGGGAACCAACAACTGGCACCTCCGGGCAAGAGTGTGTTACAAACAGCAATAATCCAGGTGACAGATTTTAGTGGATCCAGGGAGCCCAGAGAGCGAGGGTTTCAAAGCTAAATTCTGGGTTTGTATCAATCTGGTTTGAGCTCTCCGGGCAGTTTGCACAGACCGCACCAGTTCAAGCATTAATAAGGGCCCATCATCAGCCCAGATTTAGTACTATTTCCACCCCCAGGGAGTCCACAGACCTATCCCGCAAGAACGGGGAAAGCGAGTCTGGCTACTGTCAGTATAAACACCACACACACACACACCCTTGACATCTGTGCATCTCCAGCCGGACGGCAACCCCGCCGTCACCCCTTGCTACGGGGCTGCACGACAAGGTCCGAAAGAGAGGGACTGTCCCTTTAAAGCCAGGCTGCGTGCGAAGCCCTTCCCACACCGGGTCAGCTGATAGGGGTGCCAAGCCGGTGCAGAGCAGCCTTCTCCCCCGCACCCCGGTTTGGCAATGCACGCGCCCCACTCTGCGCTGCTCTCCCCATTGCAGCCCCACCGGAACTCTTAAAGGGCCAGGCGGGCTCCGGCTCTGCACCAGCAGCCGCCGCCGCGGGGCTCAGGTGCATTGTGGGACAACAAAAGTTACTTTCAGTTCGGAGTGAGGAAGGGGAAAGAGGGGGGCCCGGGGGAGCTGCGCTGGCCCGGCCGGGTGCAAGGAGGCGGTGGGTGCCCTCCAGCCGCGGGGGCAGCGCGGGGCTCGGTCTGGGCGCGAGAAGCGGGTAGACAGTGCAGCAGGCGGGGAAGGGTCGCTGGGGGGCGTGGGGAGCGGATGCAAAGAGAGAAGTTGGTGCAGCTCGCCAGGTTGTGGCTTGGGGGCAGGAAGGGGGCGATGCCCATGCTACCTTCAGCCCCGCTAGGCCCTGCCTTCCCCCTTGCAGTGGGAGGTGCCAACAGGTGCCCACATGCCCAAGGGGACCATACCCATTAGCGGAGTCCTTGCCCTCTGGCAGATGGATTGGCTGCGTGGCCAGGCTTTGCAAGTTACTGCAATGGAGGGTCTGGAGCCAGCAGCTCCCCATGGCCCCAGCCAGCAAGCACTGAGCCAATCTGGGCTGGGAGTCGCCTCCCCAAGGAGCTGGGACCCGCTGACTAGTGTCCTCTGCACGCCTGATGTGGGCCTAAGATGCAGCCTGGGGCTGGCCCAGGGGAGGGGTTAGGATTGGGGTCCAGGCTTTGCACAACTTGGGCGCTTTGCTAGTGAAGTGCCGTTAAACTCAACTGTTGCCACTGGAAGGTTTTTCCTTCCCTTGGCGATTTCTTGTGTTGACCTAGAAGCATTTCTACAGGGGCCTGGGGACGTTAATGTAAACTCTTCCGTGCAAGAGGCCAAAGTGAGTCTGATGGTTGGAGCTGGAAATCCTGAGAGTCCAATTTTTGGGTACTGACTCCTGGGACTTGGGAGCCCCAGGTTCAATTCCTAGTTCTGTCAAAGACTTCCTGTGTGGCATTGGGCAAGTCACTTGGCTTCTCTGTGCCTCAGTTTTCCCATCTGTATAATGGGATGAATTGCATGCCTTTACAGAAGGGGGCGGGGGGACAAACTGCATTTAAAGATGGTGAGGTGCTCACATACTGTAGTAATGGGTGCCATATAAGTATCTCGGAGAGTAACTAGAGAGCCAGGGTGGGTGAGGTCATATCTTTAATTGGACCAACTATAAGACAAGATATGGCCTCCCCCACCTTGTCTCTCTAATATCCTGGGAGCCACACAGCTACCACTACGTGTAGTTAGTAATTGGCATAATAGGACTTCACAAATGAACTCCCGAGTTTCTGAACTACACTGACTTGCTCAAGACTCAGCGCTGAGAGCAAGTGATTTGGCCTGGAGAAGTGCACCAGCGGGTGTGCGGGCACAAATCTCTGATTTTTCCCAACCCTAATCCCCTTTAACCCAGTGCCAGAACTCCTCTTGATTTCAATTGGCTCCGGATTATGCCCACAGACAGGCTCTGCAGAACAGATCCACTTTTAACTGTATTTGCAGCACATACCCTGCAATCTCCAGCTGGGCTCCTGCTTTAATAAGTTATTAGTTACACGGGGAGTTTCACTCTGGTCAAGCTCTTCGGAAGCCCATTCCCTGGTAGGAGTGTGCATACATAGGCCTACGTCCATCTCTGTAAAAGATATTTTGTCTGTTACATAAGGAAATATTAAGGACTGGAAAGTAACAGCAGCTGTATCCGGGGAAGGCGAAAAAACCGTCACCAACCCCTCTGTGGAGGGCTCTGTAAGCAGCAGAAGCACTGCTAAGTGCCTGAAGGAACATAACGATGGAAGATATCCCACCAAGAGATCTGGACAAGGCTGCTGGTGGGGATGAGAACAGCTCAGCGACAGTGCATCTACATTTGTATCCAGGCACTCAGGATGATTCCAATCCAGATCTTGACCAAGGCCTTGCTGCACAAACTGGTTAGTTCCTTGGGGTTGGTAGGGTGGGAATTGGCTGGGAGGAATGAATCCAGAAGCTGGTAGTCACTGGGCACCATGAGTGGGAGATAAACCCAGCAGCGGAGGAAAATCCCTCACTGTGTTCTTAGGAGAGAAGAAGAGGGAGTGAAGGAAGAATTTTGTCTGGAAGTCTCCATGCCACTTTATTAACCCATCCCTTTACATACTTCCTGGGCTTATAAAGCCCACCCCAGGGGGACTCTGGCCAGCAGCTGTGAACTAAACCCACTTCTAGAATTCAAATAACAGAGGAACAAATTGATAGTAAGTGGTGCCTTCGTACAAGCAGTGCACAAATAACACCCAAAGGACCCTCCGCCTCTGGCACAGCTGTTCCACAAAGGTACAAGTGAGAAGCAGCAGCAAAGTCTACCGTGGTTGGAGCAGGAGCGTGGGGGTCAGGACATCTGGGTTATGTTATTAGAGGAGTGAACATAGGACTGGGAACTCGAAGCTCCTGAATTCTAATCGTAGCTCTGTGCAGCCTTGACCAAGTCACTCAGGTCAAAGGTAGCAAAAGTGGTCATGGATTTGTGAATGTCACAGTTTGTGGGTTTTTGTTTGAGACCCCTCAGGCCTGGCATTTACCGGTGCAGCCTTCATTGACTTCTAAGGGAGTGGCACTGATGGAAAACACAGGCCCCAGTATCTCAAGCTGGGCACCCAAAAGCCAACAGCTACTTTTGAAGATTTGGGCCTTAAACTCCAGTCTGGTTCCTCTCTGTAAAACAGGGAGGAAGATGTATTTATTCCCTAAGGGCTAGCTAGTAAACGTGTAGTTCTTGGAAAATGGGTGCTGTGTAATCTTGGTCATTGCATTATGTTATATACTATCAGTCCCTTTTTGGGAAACATCACTAGCCCAGATTCTGTTCTTCAACAAGAAAACTCTCCCTCCCATTCTCAACCAGTGTTTAACTTTTTTTTTTTTTTTAAACAAAGCAGGTGTTTCCCTGAAGCACTCGACCACCCTGACAAACAGACAGAGAGGCAACGAGGTCTCTGCCCTCCCAGCAACCCTCGACAGTGAGTATTGCAGGTCTTCAAGATCTCAAACTCAGAGGCACAACGTCTGCTGTGAAAGGCAGTGATCCAAGACTCCGTAGTCTTGGCATTTCTTTGGTGTTCAGCAAATAACTGTGAATCCCACTAACAAAAGGTGTGTCTTGTCCCCCTGTAGGGGCAGGGCCACATAGAAGATAATAGCTTTCTAGTGCTGCCAGTTACTCCATTAGCTCACAGAGTAGAGGACAATGCTGTGAATCCAAAGATCATGGATTTTTTTGGGTGGTATGTTTATTTTTCCAAGTTTTCCTTTTTTAAAGACCTTAGGAAATTGCATTAAAATATGGTAAATAAACATTCAGGTTAGAAATTCAAGCTTTCAGAAGTTAGGAAGTGCCTGCTGTGTGCATTATGACACAGTATTTAATTACGTGATCACATGCTATTTTTAACATAGAAACCCTGCCTCATGCAGTGCTCAGGATGGCTGTTGCTAAGCAAATGAGCAGCTATTCAATATTCTGCTTTCTTCTCGCTGTTCGGTGTGTGGCCCCAGGCCTTATTTACTGCACACTATTCTAACCCTGCTCTGAATACAGAATAATAATTTCCTCATGGGCTTTTCTGCAATATTACCTGCAGTTCTGTTTACTATGGTATTGGAGTGTTTTACAAACCTTAATGAATTGGGCTTCATAACACCCCTGTGAGCTGAGGGGTTTGTTGTTACCGTATTACAGGCGGGGAACTGAAGCAGAGAGAGAATAAGATCCAATAATTGTGGGTGCCCAATCTGAAATGGCTAGGGCTGATTTTTCAGAGTCCTTAGCATTAAAGAACATTTCAGACATTCAAAGAACTGCACCCATTGACTTCAATTGGAGCTGTGAGGGTTCCGCTCTTCGGTGTGACAGACCCCAGGGGCTCAGAGTGGGCTCCCAGGAAACGAGGCGGGCACAATCAGTGGCCACCTGTGTAAAGTCTGATGTAAGTGACTTATCCAGCATCACACGGGAACTCTGTGGCAGAGGTGGTGGTAGAATCCAGTTCTCCAGGGCTGCATTCAACCGCCTGAACCATGAGACCCTGCACGCTCTTCCTGCAGTCCCCTGCCTCCTTCACTGCCCACTTGCCAGCTTCTGCAACAAATGAGACAGGGGCCTTGCAGACAACAGCCTCCTCTGCAGAACCCAAGTACATCCAGCCTGTGCAGTGAATAAGGCCGGGGGCCTGTGGAAAAAATACCCCGGGAATCACAGCTGTTTGCTAACAGCAAAGGAACATTGAGAGCCAGGGAACTTCCATGGTCTAGAGGGGAATGTGCTGTAATGGACACAAAGCCTTCTGCCTCTGTCCCGTCCAGCTTGTCCCTGTCCCCTCTTCGCCCTCCTCTCCCCCCCCCCCCCGCAGTCCAGTCTCCTCGTCTAGCCAGTCTAGTCTTCCCCCTTGGACTCCTCGTGCCTCCCTGCCCCCTCAACACCTGCGTCCATCTCTCAGGCTAGGTGGCTGCCTCACAATATGGTTACCTCTGATATCACAATGGTCTAGGACTCCTGCTTTGGCATGGACACATGCTTTACTGTGGCTGAACACCCGTGCTGCCCCCAGTGTCTTCTGTAAAGTCAGAATGGCTGAGAACTTCCTGGGTGATAACAAACCGCGAGCCCCACGGACGATTGACCCTGCGATATTCCGAACACAGAGTCCTCCGTCACGCTTGTAGCTGCTTCCCTCGCTTCACGCTGAGTAGGCCTCACAGTGACCATCCCAGAATCCTGCGGGATAGATTTTTGTGCTATCTGCCCCTTGTTGGTGAAATCTCCCCCAGGTGGAGCTAACCCCGGTTCTGCTCTGCAACATGTCACCACTTCAACTCTTTTTTTTTTTTTGAAATGAGGCAGGTACATCGCTGAAGCACTCGACCACCCTGACAAACAGACAGAGAGGCAACGAGATTTCTGCCCTCCCGGCAACCCTCGACAGTGAGTATCCCAGGGCTGCAAGATCACACACTCAGAGGTGCCGCTTCCAACGGGAAAGACGCTTGTGTGCTAAGGCCAGTGTCTCTCAACCTTTTTTGATACCAGGGACCAGCTTGCTGCCTTCCTAAACTGTGTCAGGGAGATCTCGGGGACCGGCACCGGTCCAAAGACCGGTCACTGAGAAACACCGCGCTAGGCTGTCCCCTCAGCCCTGTGGGGGAGCTTTGAGTTTTTCAGCCAGGGCAGAGGAGAGAGAAGCTTTGGCGGCTAAGATACCAGTAGATGTCCACTCTTCCTCCTTGTTCTCCTGCAAGTCACATGGGGAACTACCAGTGTTTCCACAATGGGGTATTAATCAGGGCATCCAGCAGAACACTGTCCTTGCATTTCCTTCTTACAGTGAAATTGTTCCCAGAGCATTTTTACTGTGTCCCATTTGTTTTAATTATATGTCAGCGCTCCTCGCCTGCACTAGTTAACAATTAGCAAGGTAGTTTTAAAACAACTAGCCTGGTAAGTGATGGTAGGAAAAAAGAGCCATTTCCCCATGTTTTTATAGCTCCCCAGTAGCTGTGAACGTCGTTGTAAATCTTTCAGACAAGATCGGGTCTGATATTTTATTGTATTTGTGTTGTTTGTATTTGCCTCTTATTAATGGGCCACTCCGCTAGTTAAAGATTAGGTTGAACAGATAAATTTTTAAAAACAACATGTTTATAAAACTGAAATGTCAACATAGAAATGTTTGTATGAAACTAAAAAACAAAAATCCATGATTGTTTTTGTTCAGAGGTGAACATCCCTGCGGTTTCTGCACCCCAGCCATTGCAGGGTAGAGCTAGTACAGAGGGACGTGAATGCAAAACTAGCTAAAGACAATCAGTTTGGGGCAAATTGTGCAAATTGATGCCAAGCAGCAGCACTGGTGGTAAAAGGCCAGGCCTCAGTCCTGCGGACATTTAGACACGTGTGTAACTAATATGCATGAATAGTTGCAGTGACTCAGTGGGAAGTTACACATGGGGGCATTGGCATCTGCAGCACGTGGCCCTACAATGGGATCTCAGAATTATTTTTGTTGTGATGGCTGGGAGTAGAGCTATTAATAAGTAAAGGGTTTTTTTGTTGTTGTTGTTGTTTTTAAAGATGTGATCTTTATCCCAATAATGTTTATTATAAGATCCCCTGTTTCAGTGAGAGCAAGTTTTCTGAGCAGGATTAGTGAGGAGGAAAAAAAAACCCAACTCCTAATTCATCCATTTTGGCTCAGTTGATTCTACCTCACACTCCCACCAGAGCACAGAATGTGAAGCCATAATGCAACATCCTGCTTAGGACAGCTATGATCTTGCATAGGCTGTACCACGTACTTACCTGTATCTCCAGACAGCAAATACTAAGCAGTCAGGGGAACATGTAATTCTAAGATTTTGTTTCCTTTCCAACACTAGCTTTGTCCATCCACCAGTTGGCGGCTCAGGGTGAACTCAGTCAGCTGAAAGAGTATCTCAGAAAAGGTGTGTGCATCGAACTGCAAGTCTGTCTCTCAGTCTCCTTCCCCCACTTTATCCTGTTTTTTAGGGACAATTTAAGTTTTTGATGTAGAACTTTAATGGCTGCACAGAGTCCTAAGCACGTACCTGGCTGGCTCTCCCCTATTGCTTCAAGAGGCCTCTCCTGGAGTAGTGACGCGTGAGACACGCTATAGCACATCAATCACAAGAGAGCTGCCTTGTGAAGTTTGACTCTGAGTGAGAGGCTAGAGACATGGCAAATGGTCAGACTGCCAAAGGAGGCCACAGCGGGAGCTGCAAGGTCAGAGCCTCTCCCCAGCTCCAGCCCTCCCTTTGTGTTTATTGCACTGAATACCTGGTGTGAGAATTTAGCAGGAACAAACCCCAGGTGCCATCACAGGTTTTTCTCAAGGGAGGCTCGTTCTAACTGGAAGCCAAGCCCAGTTCACAGAACCCCGGACTCCTCTGGTTGGAGCATCAGCGGGGTAGTATTCTTCTCCCCCACTGATAACGACCCATCTTCCAAGTAGCCAGTAGATAGCCTTGCACAGAGGCAGGCTAAGGGGAGGCTGAGATTAACCCCTTCTTCCCCAGGGATCAGGTAGTGCTCCCATACATTGTAGCACCAATTCTTCTCTAAAATTCATTTTGTATTTTCCCTTCATTATCTTCTTGCTTCTCAATTTGTTTTCCTTCCCCCATATCCCTCCTGGAGCCTTGTTGTTCTCTTCCTTCCTGGGGCCAGGCTCTGAGCCAGTGTTCCAGGCCCAAGAGAGCAATAGACAGAGTGGTACATGATCGAACTGGGAAACGCCTCTCTCTTTGGAAGCACTGAATTTTTTTAAGGACACAAATGCTCCCCTTAGCAGTGGGGGACAGGTGACATGTGGCCTGAGCATAGGAGTGGCAGCCAGGAACCCCTCTGACCTCTTCTCCTGCTCTTGAGCAAGTCACTCTGCTGGTCCGTGCCTCAGTTTCCCCATGTGCGAAATGCAGCTAATGCTACTGAACCACATCCAGGGGGTGGAGAGGAATATTCTTATGACTGCAAAGCCCTCTGGAAGGCCGAGTTCTTGTAACCACGGGAGCAAATGGTGGATGGTACATATGTACAAGGCTCTGTGTTCTTGTCTGTTCAGGGGAGAACTTGGTGAACAAACCTGACGAGAGAGGCTTCACTCCTCTGATCTGGGCCTCTGCCTTCGGGAGATTGAAACAGTCCGTCATCTGCTAGACCGGGTAAGAGCCCAGCGCCAGCCTGGGGGGTTGTATTGGCCGGTGGTTGGGCAAAGATGCCCCTCTGGATTTCTCCCAAAATTGAGTGCCCTGCGCTGACCTCTCCTGGCCACAAAGCACAGCGTGTAGATGCGCCTGGCAACCGCTGGGTGTAGTCAGCCATGTTTTGATGGAACAAAGCAAAGTGCTTTCCCTTGCTCTCCCCCACCCGCTCTGGGTGGAAGGGGCCACCTCTGTTGTACTTAACCCTGGAAAGCTGGTAACAAAACTTGCTCCTACACTTTGAGCACCCATCTCCCCCCCCCCCCCCAACACCTCTTCCCGTTGCGCTAGTTATGGTATCAATCTGACAGCAAGATCATTGTAGCTGAAAAGCCTCTGCCGACCCCAGGGCAATTCAGACAGACAGACGGCTGGCCAGGCAGCCAGCCATGCCATCTCCCTCTCAGGTCTTCACAGAAGGGTGGTTTTTACTGATGGATTTATCAGCTGATTTTTTTCCAGGGGAACAAAACGGATAGAAAAACAATTTTGCCAGGTTAACGTAACCTCTGTTATCTGAGAGTTCTGCTCAGGCCATCTGTGGGCTAAGTCAGGAGCGTAAAGAGCCTTATCTTGTGACTCGCAATAGCTGTTTGTAATTAAAGATCTGCATATTGGTAATTTGAGATCCGCCTTATCACTGGGCTGCATAATCCACCAGTATTTTTACGTTTAATAAACTCCGTGCTGCATTGTCCTTGGGCTGCACCCCCATGTGATTGGGGCGTTTAGAAATTTGTCAGTTACGTTCCTGAAGCAGTGGAGGGTTTATTGTTAGCTTTTGGATAAAGCAAAATTCCTTGCTGCATGGGGCGTTTAATCCAGGGGGAAACTGCCACCCCAGAAGTTGGTTGATAAATTGGAGAGGGTTCAGAGAAGAGCCACAAGAATGGTTAAAGGATTAGAAAACCTGCCTGATAGTGACAGACTCCAGGAGCTCAATGTATTTATTTTAACAAAAAGAAGGTTAAGAAGTGACTTGATCACAGTCTAAGTATCTACCCCGGAAACAAATACAGTAAAAGCTGTTTTATTCAGCATGTTGGAGGAATGGGCGGTGCTGATAAGTGAAAAGTCCCGGTTAACTAAGAGGGAGGGAGTTTGGGTGTGGGGCAGTGGGTTAGGGCATGGGAGGGGGTGGGAATTTGGGTGAGGGATGGGGCTTGGGGTAGGGGGTTGGGGCATAGGAGGGGTCTCAGGGTGCTGGATCCGTGGGGCGCTCACCTTGGGCGGCTCCCTGCAAGCGGCGACCTGTCCCGGCTGCTCCTAGGCGGAGGTGCGGCAGGCAGGTCTGCATGCTGCCTCCACCCGCAGGCGCCACCCCCGCAGCTCCCATTGGCCGCAGTTCCTGGCCAATGGGAGCTGCTGAGCCAGCACTTGGGGCAGAGCCGCCTGCCACACCTCCGCCTAGCGGCAGCCGGGACACACCATTGCTTGCGGGGAGCTGCCCAAGGTAAGCGCACCCCGGATCCAACACCCTAACCCCGCGCCTCCTCCTGCACTCCAAACCCCTCATGGCCGTTCCTCTGCCTAGGAGCAGCAGGGACATGTCGCTGTTTCCAGGGAGTCATGTGGAGCCAGGCAGGGAGCCTGTCGGCTCCGCACCAACTGGGACTATAAACCAGACTTTCTATGGAGATTAGAAATGCCGGTTTATAGAGCTTTCCGGTTGGTACAGGGCTGGATAACACCGCTTTTATTGTATTTCATAATGGGCTCTTTAATGGAGCAGAGAAAGGTCAAACACCATCCAGTGGCTGGAAGTAGAAGCTAGACAAATTCAGACTGGAAATCAGGCATACATTTTTGACAGGGAGGGTAATTAACCATTGGAACAACTTACTGAGGTCGTGATGGGTTCTCTGGTACGGACATGTTTTCAGTCAAGATTGGGTGTTTTTCTAAAAGATCTGCTCTCGGAATTATTTTGGAGACGTTCTCTGACCCATGCTGTCCAGGAGCTCAGACTAGGTGATCATGGTGGTCCTTCGGGCCTTGGAATTTATGAATCTACGAATGACCTATACTATAGGGAGAAGGTCTCGGTAGCTGCGTGGGGCTTTTCCAATATCCAGTTTCTTTAAGTGGGATGGGAAGCCCTCGTCGTTTCTGCCCTACAGAAAAGAATCCGGCATGCTGGGAAGCAATGCCCAGACAGTTCAGTCTGATCTCAGAGTTCAAACAACACACCTGTGAATTGGAGCCACCCAGGTGAGCGGATAAGCCTGGGCATGCGCGTGCTGGCGAAGTGGCACATCACGCAGTGGAAACCGTGAGCAAACAGAGTGTTGACCATCCCAGTGCCCTTGTGTGTGACCTGCTTTCTTCTGCATTGCTGGTTTACCCCTTGTCCTGTTCCCAGGGCGCTGACCCCCATGTACTGGCAAAGGAGCGGGAGAGCGCTTTGTCGCTGGCCAGCACCGGAGGATACACTGACATCGTGATCATGCTGCTGGAAAGAGACGTAGATATCAATATATATGACTGGGTAAATGCACTGTTGCTTATTGCCAGTATCACTCTCTGTAACAGCCATCCTGGGCTTTTGCTGTTGCTAAAGGTTGGCTTTAAAAAAATATCTATATACTGCTTATGACTGAGGTTAAAGAAATTAATTTTAAAAAGAAACACCATTGCCAAGCTGGGGAGAAATTCATTGGCCCCTATCAAGCCTGTTGGTCAGTTTTCAGTTAAGATTCCACACAGGACAGTAGTGTCTTGAATGCCCCCTGCAGGGACCAGCCAAAATCATTTGGCTGGTGGAGAGAGTTCTTTAAAGACATGAACTGCCCGTCCTGGGGAACTTGGGGAGACTTTAAAGTGGCCTCTTCAGACAGGCAATTGCTCATTCTCTGGGGAGGTTTTACAAACTACAAGCCAAAGCATTTAGAAATAAAATGACTTTTAAAGTAAACTTTTAATCCACCTAAAGCTCCAGAGAATGCAGAGCCTTGAAAAATCAAAACCAAAGCTCCAGCCAGCCCAGCGAGTCACAACCAAGAGACGTGGCCCAAGGGCAGGCCTGGTATGCCTCTGAGATCTCACCCCCTCAGATAGAGCTCCCCGCTCAGCCTGAAGAGCAGCAGAATCGAGTGCTTCGTTTACACAGTTCTTCTGGTGCGACTTGCTCGGGGCGCTGGTATGGCGGGTGGGTGGTGGGAGCTGGCTGGCCAGCTGAGCCCACCCCACAGCTGCTGCCGCATGACACCCTGTGAAACTTCGAGTTCTGAAGGTATCTGAGTGTTTGGCGTCCAGGTGAAATTCGGGGCGCGTGCTCAGGGCTGCCTTCTCCTGTCTCCCTGCAGAACGGAGGCACCCCGTTGCTGTATGCTGTGCGTGGCAACCATGTGAAGTGTGTCGAGGCTTTACTAGGTAATGAGACAGACTTTCACGTGCTGGTTTTTAAGTAACTGTTCACTGCTAACTCTGCCTGGAAGTGCTAACCTGGGGCAGCTGACGTGGGGAGAGGCATGGAGTTATTTGGGTATCAGAAGGTGATGTGGATCCCTGGACAAATAGTAACACATGACAGATGGGCCAAAGCCAGAGCTCCTGAGATCCAAAGCTGCAGCAGCTTTCCATTGCTTGCTCCTTGTCCTGGGTCTCTGCATGGAATGGCCAAGATAGGCAAAGCCTGGGTGTCACTCGCCAAGTCATTCAGCCCTGGCATCTAAACTCCGAGCATATACAATGGTCCTGCTGTTTCCCCGGAGTGGTCGCCCAGCCCCATCCGGGGCAGATCAAAGCATCCAGGCCGGCCCTAGAGCCCGTTGCCCACTAGAGTTGTCTGTGTAGAGAGGGATCAACCCCTGAGCACGTGCTCCTGTCTGCTTTCAGCTCGCGGTGCTGATCTGACAACGGAAGCGGACTCTGGCTACACCCCCATGGATCTGGCTGTGGCATTGGGACACAAGAAAGGCAAGTGTCCTGCCCTTCGGACTGTCTAGAATGGGGGGGTTGGAACTGAACCCTGCTCTGCTCCAGTGCGGTTCCTCAGTGCTGAGTGGCACCCGGGGCGTTCCCTAATCTGCACGGACACAGGCTCGTCCCACTTTGCTGCTTGCTGAATTTGGCCCAGAAAATCAGATTCTCTAGAGAGGGCGTTAACGGGACACAGCTCACACCCAGCTGCTCACAGGGGCCAAGCCAGGGAGGGGTTGGGTGCTGTAAGTGGTCAGCCAAACAGAAACAAGTCTAAATTGCCAACTTCCAAGGGGATACTGGAAACCGAACCCCAGTGGTTGCTGCCATATAAGCTGGCCGCACTCCAGCCATGCCTGTTTGAAACTTTACTGGTGTCTCTTCTCTTTGTGCCCATTAGTTCAACAGGTTATTGAGAACCACATCCTCAAGCTGTTTCAGACCAAGAAACCGGAGTGACGCTGGCTCGCGCTCCCTGGCTGAAGGAACCAGGGCTTTGCTCTCTTGGTCAGCTCTCCGGATGCTGCATGGGAACAAGGTGGCCAGACGCGCTGTCTCTTTCCAAGGGCTGACGCTCCTGCAGCAGATCTGGCCGAGCCGGCGTGGAGGGAGCTTTAGAAGCCGGGCTGGGAGGAAATCCCTGATGAGGAGCTATTTACTCTCCAGGCCGGGCGTAAAGGAGAAGCATCCCACACACAGTGAGACACTGAATTGTCCAGGTAGCTGCATTTCTGCTGCAAACAAGACTGCAAGCCGCCTCCCTCTGCCCCCTCTGTGTGTGTAGTAAATGTTGCCTAAAGCAGCCCTGCCTGAATGCGGTAGCCGCGGGGTGGGGGTTGTGCTGGGAACTGGGGCTTGCCCAGCGAAATGCTCTTGGGGATGCTGCCTGTTCCTCAGATGGGGCGAGGATGAACCATGCCGCCTTCGAAAGGGAGGCCACAAAGTCTGCCCTGCTGGAGCAGCCCTCTTCCCCCGGCCCACGCCCCAGCCAGTGACCATGCTTCTTGCAGTGGCTTAGGGAGAGTTCAGGTCAGGGCACAGCATGCTGATCACACTGCATCCAGCTCTGGTGGAAGCAGGTTGGGGGGGAGACTGCTCAACAATTCCCTACCTCCCTGGGTGAAACTCTGTTAGCTGCTCTAACCAGAGCCCCCGCCCACCTTGCTGTTCATACCAGCCTTGTAGGGCTCGAAAACAACTCCCTGCTGCACTTACCATCACGCTCAGCGTGGACAGAACAGGCAGCAGCCCTGGGAGTCCTGTCCCACTAGCAGCCCCGGCGGGCTAGGGGCTTCCCTCCCCCATGGTGCTTGGGGAGAAATACAGCTACACCCAGCAACTGTTCTTCACGCAGGTTCCTCCCTGGCAGCTGTTGTATCTTTGGAGGAGAGAAACATGCTGCTTGTATCTTCGGACCTTGCAGCATCAGCTGGGAGGCAGCTAATTAGTTACAAGTGGGGCTGCAAATCCCCTTAAAGGGCCAGTCGTCCCCCCATGACACTGATTGAAGTTTATGCCCTTGACATGTTAGTAGATGGTTAGATCACACACACACCCCCAGCCCTCGCCAAGGCTGCATGTGTGTCAAATCTCACCTCTTTGAAGGGCCAGTTATCCGCTCTAGTTCAACTGTGATTAAAACGAGGCGTCCCTGTGTGATCCCAGGGAAGCCCTGAGCCGCTGTTCTGTCCTGGCCTGCATGGCAGCCCCGGTGAGCAAGCCACCATCTCTCCTTCCGGCAGCTGCTGCGTCGGACCGCTGGGACCAGTGCACGCGCTGCTGGACCGTTGGCCACCCCATGCACATTGCAGGAAGCGTTAGCCACGGTTTCGGCCTGGCCCCCTCCAGTGACCAAGCGGCATCTTCGCAGCATTGTTCAGAGCTTCCCCAGGGAGCAGACTTCCTTCCCCCCCGCAGCTTCTTCCCGGACACGATCAACACATGCTCCCAGCCCCCCACACTGAGGGTCCTTTCCTGTTCATCACCTGCAACCCCCCCACCTGTCCCTGCCACCACCACCCCCCACTTCCACCCCTTTCTGCATTCCTATTTTAGCTTCCCCCATCAAACACCATCCTCTTGACTCTTCCCCATCAGCTGTCTTCCTTTTTCCATTCGTCCCTTTCAGTGCTGGGGTCAGAGGTACCTCCCTCTTTAGTTCTCAGTGCAGGCCCTCTAGGGCTCCCTCTGCAGACAGCTCCATGCCGCCTCCATCCGTCCAGTTGGCTCATCTCTGCGCACAGCTCTGTCTGCTCATCGACAGCATCCGGCCACCAGCGTTGAAGTCCACATGGTCCAAGCTGAGCTCCCGCATTTTCTCCTTCGGTGTCCATTGCTGCGAGGAAACCTCCCCCAGCCCATCTGCCTTCTCCCAGGCCCAGAACCAGGGCATCATCTGCACAAGCCCCTACATCACATAACTGGCATGAGACCGTTGAAGGTGCTGTAGCCACGTCAATAGGTAGCCATGGCCTGGTCCATGCTTGTGTGCAACGCCACCCTCTGCCAGCTGCAGTTGAAGCCAGGACTTCAGTTAGAAGAAAAACCACCTGACTTATATGCAAAGCCATTAGCTTTGAACCCAAAGAAACCTAACTTGTATTAGACAGGAAAGCTTCTTGCACATAACTAGCACGCTGCCTCACTTAACCAAGGGACTACAGTGTTGAATAACGGCAAAACCAAACGAACCAGAACCCGGCTAATCTACCTGGTTGTGGTGGCTTGTTTATCGCTTTTCCTGCAAGTGCTGAAGTTACACGATGAGGCTTTGGGGAGAGCGGCTTTGGAGAAATGGGATTTTCGTCGTGTTTAAAAACAAAATAACAGAAACGACCCATTTCAGAGAGAGAACCGGAGAGTGTCCTAAGTGGGAACGGGTTGGCTTAGGGTGATTGGTATAAATGGGTTTCGAGTAGAAATGAGCTCTAAGGGAATCTGGCCTCTGTGATGGGGGCTGGGCTCAGTACCAGAATCAGGACCCCCTCCCCCCCCCCCAAAAAAAAAAAAAACCCAACGGGGGAATCTTCTGCTACTTACACTGATTGTTGCTTGGGCCCTTTACCAAACAGCACAGAGGCAGCATGCAGATGGGCTGAGGTACTGCAGGCATTCAGCAGATCGTGCATTGCCCCAATGCTGACACAGGACGCTCTGGGGCAGGCAGCCTTGATCGTTGGGCTCAGTGGCATTGTTTCCCCCATATGCCATTCCCCACGAGTAAAAGGCCTGGAGAGAGTTGAATGGTGGCTGATTGTGTTTTTATGGAGGTACTCATGATATTTTGGACAACTGGGCACAGGCCCTCTGGTAAATTTACTGCTAGTCTTATCTCGCCCCCTGCAGAGACGAGGGCAGCTAGCCCCATTCTCCATCACAGCTGAGTGTTAGAGGCTTGAGGCGAGCCATGACAGGTGCCATTAGTCCTACCATGTAGGAAGCAGCCCCATGATATTTCTTAGTTCTCTTTCCTATAGGAGCAGGATTATCCCCACTCTCTCTGAAAGCCCTTGAGTGCATGATCCCAGCTGGCACCTGCCACCCTCCCCACCTGGGCCGAAGGCTGATCAGTTTGCTGGAGCAGCTGAGCCCTCACCCTACCGGGAAAGAGCAGAGTGGAATTCTCACGCCTGACGAGGGTCCGAAACTCACCAGGCTGCATGGGCTGCACCCTGCGAGCAGGAACCCTGAGGAAGCAGGTGTTCCTGGGGGAACATACACTTCCTAGCTCTTCAACACCACTTCCTGAGCAAAGCCTGGAGCTGCCACCTCTGTGACCCCACTGGACGGGCAGAGTGGGCCCGAGCTGGGGGGAAGGAGGCAGTTTCCAAATTCAGTATGTGATTAGTTTAATCTCTACAGAACAGAACCACTCGCTTGCCCCAAATCCAGTGTGGTCCGGGAGGCGGGAAGCATTTATTCAGCCATTAAACATGAGCTTCATCACGTGATAAGCCACTAGATTACAGCATGTGGATTGTCATGCACTGGTCTGCACTATTCTGGCAGCCCATGAGCACCACGGTGTGCGCCCAGGGGCTTTAGATCCCGCTGAGAGGCCGCAGCTGGGTGGGGAGGGGGCAGGATCTCAGCCTTGTTCTGTTAATGCCCAGTGCTGTTTTCTGTCTGAGCGTTCCCTGGTTTACTTCCAAGTGGCTACATTTCAATTGCAGAACAAGTCTGGCATCTCTCCTCCCTCATAAGAGGCGCTGTCTGCCAAGGCAAATATGCCACCTCGTGCCAGTTCATGCCACTGGGCCCTATTGGACAGGGTGGGAAGGCAGAGTGCCGGCTGATCAAACACCAGGGGAACAAATCCATTCGGGGTGATGGGCTGCAGTTCTGCCATTCCTGTCCCAAGTTAGAGCTTTTCCCCGAGGACGCTGAGGTGATACACGATGATTCTCCCAAAGAAATCTGTGCTGTTCTCAAAGGTGATTTTCAATTTATCCAGCATTGTTTCTTCTGTCCTGAAGCTGTGGATGGAGCAGTAAAGGAAGAAACAAGGGCAATGGGGTACATGACACACAAACAACTTCCAGTACAGCAAGAGAGTCACTCACCCAGCACAACCCAATCAATGCAGGTAGGGAGCTAGGGCACGTGCTATATTCTCACCAAAACTGGGCTTCACTTCACATCCCCCAGCTTCCCTGCTACCCTCCCGCACACTGCACAGAGTGCAAGGATTCCATCCAGCAACTGCTCCAACAGATTTAAGGCCACCTGCCTCTCGCCAGGCCCGTGTTAGACAGACCCTGCCCTATTGACGTGCAGCATTGAAATAACTCCCGCAGGGCTGCGGTGGATTCTCCAAGTCTTGTGGCCTGTGCCACACAGGAAGTCAGACCAAGTGATGACAGTGGTGCTTTCTTCTATGGAAGAGCCATTCTAACCTAGCCCCCAGGGGTTCCCAGGGATCAGGATTCACATTGCCCGAGTCGGATCGTTAGCGTCCCTGGCTAACGGACCAAATCTGGTGACGAATCCTGGTCACATGCCACCTGTGACACGTGGTGCATACGCTTAGAAGACCTAGCCCCCAGTGAGAATGAAAGGATATCTGCAGGGCATTGATGTCTTCAGGGTAGAAGTCTGATATCTTCACAAGTTCTTCACCTTTTCTGCCACCTAAGAAGCAAGAGGAGAGGATGGAAATGTCTGTGCTGGTTGCAGAGTTAGATTAGCATGATCACTGGATCTACGCTGGGAACTGGATGTCCAAGTGTCTTTGGTGCTTCTGAAAAATCCCACCCCTATAGCTTTAGTTCAGGACTGGGGGTCAGGCCAAGAACTGGGTTTCAGTCCTCGTTCTGCCACTTAATCTCTCCAGTGCTATCTGTCCAGGTACCCGTATAGCCCTCATTACTCTTGCCTAGACAAGTTGCTTCTGTTTTCCTGGTTATAAAATGCGACCAGCCTAGGCCCTGTGAATTCAAAAATTGGACCAAAGTTCTCCCACACACCAGCACTGGGGAAAGACATTCCACACAGAGATGTATGCTGAATTAAATACAGTCGATACTGTAACATCTAGTTCAATGCAATCCTCTGCATCTGGATATACTGCCAGGAACTGAGCTGCAGAAGTGAACACGCCGTGCTGTGGATTTGCGATCCAGTGTGTCGCAGACTCTTTGGGAAGGTGCTTTCACATGAAAAGCACCGGAAAAGTGCATTCACAACTGAAAATAATTACAGTGCATCGGCCACAGATCTTTCTCTGGATTAGTTGTTGTTCAGTTCATCTGGCATGACCGCAGCATCAGTAGAACATTGTCTGAGCCCCAGTCTGCCTCTATCCCGTAATTAGAGCCCTTCCAATTCCTGAAAGATGAGTGACCCTGCAATCGACATGATGAATGGCACAGAATGCCACACGTTGTTCCCCAGCGGGGGAGGCTCTTTACCTTCCAGTGTACACAGCTGGCTCGCAAATCCACCCTGGAACTGAATCTGGAGTTGGGACACCTTGACAGTCTGTGGAAATTCCAGCATCACCCACTGGGAGGAGCCCTGGAGCCAGGAATGAAATGGGAGCACAGGTTACAGTCAGCTTCCATAGGGGCCACCCCGTTACACCCAGCGCGGGCGGATTCCGCAGGGAGCCCTGTAAGGCCCATAAAGGTGGGAGTGAGCACCGGTTAAAGTGCCCCCCGCCATGGTTAGCCCCCGGGGCAGAGCTAGGGCACAGCAGAGCGCAGTACAGCATGTACCCAGCGCAGTGGAGTGCTTAAGACAGCAATGCCACAGCGGCAGGGCCCGGGGAGGCAAGCCTGGCAGCCATTCCGTGCTCAGCAATAGCCCCCACGTAAGCTGGGCTGGTAGAACTCCCTTCCCTGATTCTCAGACGGGACGCCTGCTCCAGCGGGGGGACGTGCCGTCACTCCATTTCCCATGGTTGCCCCGACAGAGCAAGCACAGGGGGTCATCCGTGCAGCTCACCTGGTCCGAGTTCCAGCAGGTCTCCTCGCTCGCGTCGAACATGTGCTTCTTCCCGAACTGCTTGGCGTCCCGGTTGAGCACGGAGCTCACTCTGCAGGGACAGAAACCAGACTCGCGAGGGGTGATGCTAGGGGACGGGGCTCTGATGCCCAGTACAGAGAGCGCCCCACTCCCACGGTGAGCCCTGGTATCCGCAGACACAAGGCCAGGCTTCTCAGGAGACCGTCTATTACAACGGGCTCTGCACCAACGAGACCAGGTAGAACAAACCCCTCTGGGATGGAGCCAGGTGTTTGGGAAAGGTGCCAACTACGCAGCCCCAGAGCCTGAATCCCACAGAGCAGGTGCAATGCTGACAGCAGAACAAGCTGCCCCGGACCCCCGTCCCCCACAACACGGACCCTTCAGAGACCCTCCGAGGGCGGGAAGGGGAGTTCAGGAGCCACCCGTCTCCGCCGACCCCGATAACAAGCGGCTTCAGGAGCATTCGCTGAGCAGGAACGAGGCTGAGAGCCATCAAGCTTGGTTCACTCAGAGCAGCAGAGAGCCACCAGGTGGTAACAACAAGAGCCTCTCCAAGTCCTTTAGCTCCTCTGGGCTTCAGATCTGTGTGTGGAGAGCGTAGCCAGCTGCTGGCATTAACAAATAAGCCATAATCCGTGAGTGCTCTGACCCAGGGCTGACAGGTACACCAGGGGAAACCAGCCCCCCGAGAGTTCACTTTCTCAGAGGCTGGCGGGATTTACCTTCCCGCGCCCCACCCCACTCTGACTCGTCCACCAAGGACAAGTTCACTACAGCATGGAAAAATTCAGGGCAGTGGGTTCTTCGGGAGGCAGAAAGGAAAACTCACCTGCTCACAGTCTCACTGCAGATCAAGGGTGCCGTGGGCATGGCGCTGCTGGAAGTATTGCTCCTCTCCAGCACACGCCACTGATGAGGTTCGGTGCCAAAGCACCTAGGTGCAGCCTGCGATGGAGGGGCGCCTGGTAATGGGGCCGCAGCAGAGTTGCGGAGTTCAGAGGGGAAAGAGAATCCGTTCTCTGCCCTGCTCTGTTTGCTGCTCTGTTAACGTCACAGAACCCGGGTCCTGAAATGAAGGAAACACTCCCCAGAATCAGTTGCAGAGTCTCCAGGAGACAGGTAGCACTATGCACACAGTAGCCTTAGCCAGCCAGCCGTGCCTTGGCTGGGGGGTCGGGAATGATGTGCGGTACCGTGTGGGTCACTGCAGAGGCTGCCCCACCCTGGGTCAGTACCACGACCCCAGTCCTGCACAGGGCAGAACCTGAAGTCAGTGGGGCTGCAAGCAGGTACAGGAGCCCACCTGCAGAGATTGGGGCCCACGTGAAGCACTTGCCTAGATCCTATTTTGATCCAACCCACCATCTGCAACCCCCAAACAGAAATAAGATTAAAACATCACCCAAACAAAACAGTTAATCACGGACTGCGTGCAAACAAGAGGAGGCAGCACGAAAACAAACAGAGGCTGAAAACCCAGCACCTCTCGGGCAAAGAAATCACCCCGAGAACGTTAACAATCCATGCACAAAACACCGCCCAGCTATTTCCGCCAAGCAGAGAACTGGAGGATTTCCATCCCGGTGTTCATTTAACTCAATGAACTCAATAAAATGCTGGAACGATCTTTTCCATACCTACCTCCCCCCACCCCCACGCTCTCTCTTAGTTGGCACCTCTGGGCACCAATGTAATGTACCCTAATAATCCCCCCCCCCCCCAAAAATCCACTTTCAGGCTCAGACCAAAACTGGAAAATACCAGCTCCTAGCGCA